TAACATACTTAGTTTAACATCTGAAATCTTCCAAGCAGTTTTCTAGTACTGGGGAGATTTGGGGTACACCGTGGATTGGTTACAAGGAATGTGTGGGACTTTGCACACAGATTTCTTTTTTATTTCTCTGAAATCGATCGGTTTGTGTTCACATTTAAGTACCCAGAGCAAAACTGAACTGGGACACCTGAGAGTGCTTTGGAAGTTGTTTGCTACTTTTTAAGGTATTAGATACTGGGGAGATTTGGGGTACACCGTGGATTGGTTACAAGGAATGTGTGGGACTTTGCACACAGATTTCTTTTTTATTTCTCTGAAATCGATCGGTTTGTGTTCACATTTAAGTACCCAGAGCAAAACTGAACTGGGACACCTGAGAGTGCTTTGGAAGTTGTTTGCTACTTTTTAAGGTATTACATTTAAATCATGCTCCAACAGGGAACCAAACAATGTTCTTCCCCTTCTTTGCCAGGCATGGGACCTGTGCAGGTGAGGATTGGTGCCAAATAAACAAACTTGAAAGGTTTTTACGTGGCTCGGGAAGGGGACAGACTGCAGAGCTTAGTGCTGTGTCCTTGCCATGATGAGCTGTGAAGGGCCACGACATGGACACTGTGAGGAATCGTGGGTTTGGGGCTGGAGCCACAACTCTCAAGGCATCATAATGTGTTGTGGGTGCAATTTTTAAGAGCAGTGTGTCAGTATAACCCGAGATTGGCTTGTACAGACCTTTCTGTAAGAATTTAATCAGAGACTTCTACAATGAAAAGTCTCCTCAACTGTTCTAGGCCAGACACTTGTTTCTATTGTAGCAGCGGCTTGTTCAGAACAGAAGGAGCAAGTGGCTTGGATTTGGAGTTCTCCTTCTCACCAGATGTGTGTGGGGAGCTGCAAATCTCTCTGTTCTGTTTTGACTTAAATGCCCCCATTTCACAAGGCCCAGGGATCAGTGGGGGTTGGTGGGCTGGACTTAGATAGCTGGGAAAGTAAATAGTGCTGTATTTGGACAGGGTCTAAGTAACAGATTGTATGTGGTGAGGGACCTTCCCCGTCACCTGGACCACAGGGAATGGTCCCTCCAGTTCCTGGGAGATCCTGGGCTTGGGACTCTCCCAGGAGAAAATGGGAAGCACCTGAAGCAGTGCCATTCCCTCCGTGCAGCAGGAGGGGCCGGTGGAAATCTGGTCCATCAGGGAGCCAGAAGGAACCAGGATAAGCCAAATCTAAAAGAGCTCTCTGTGGAGAAGTCTTTTACACTGGAAAATAACTTCTAGAGTGTCTGAATTTCAAGTGAAATAGTGTCTCTGCACTGTGACCTGTTCTGATTTCCCCTCGTCTCTCAGCACTTGAAGCCATCTTGGAGTTGCAAGTGCTTCTGGGCTGATTTTTTTCACATAAGTGGGGGAAAAACCTCCCAATTTCAGACACACTCAAGAAATGTTGCAAGTGTGGAGAAGTCTTTTACACTGGGAAATAACTTCTAGAGTGTCTGAATTTCAAGTGAAATAGTGTCTCTGCACTGTGACCTGTTCTGATTTCCCCTCGTCTCTCAGCACTTGAAGCCATCTTGGAGTTGCAAGTGCTTTTGGGCTGATTTTTTTTCACATAAGTGGGGGAAAAACCTCCCAATTTCAGACACACTCAAGAAATGTTGCCTTAGTACATCTTGCAGCTACCGTTGGGTGCAGAAGGGCAGGACTGGGAAGCACTAGAGTTGGGGTTGTTGTTGTTGTTTGAAAAATCTAGATTGTTGTTTGGCAGACAGCAGCGAGTGCATGTGAGCTCAATCACACCACACTCCCTTTTGTGGGGCCGTTTGAATCGTGGTGACTTCTGGCTCAGATTTATTTTATCCACAGTGCGGGGTTCCTTATGGCCTGCAGTTCTGCTTGAAAACCCATTTAGCTCCATAAAAAAGTGGCCATGTGGGTGACTATGCATAGAAAATCGTGATGCAACTTCAGGAAGCATTTCATTTGTTTGATGTAATGAAAGAAATACAACTTCCTTTTGCATTAAAAAAAAAAAAGCTTTTATGATGTCTTTTAATAACTCTTTAAAGAATAATCCTGCTCAGAAGCTGTGGTAATTGAATGCATGAGCACTTGTAATCGTGCAATCAGGCTATAATGTGTCTGTTACAACATTGTACTGCAAAATAAACGTGCCAATATCCAGCAAATCCTGTTCTTTACCTCCGGAGTCAAAGTCTGAGCAGCTCTGGCGCTGGACACCCCAACGCAAACGCCCTCCTGCTCCAGCACCAGACGGTGCCCTCTCCAGATAACAGCACCCAGCAATATGGCTTGATGGAACAGAGATTTGCTTGTTTTAATCAAATGGGACCTTAATTGCTGTGCTCTGATTAGCTGTTTATTATGGGTGAGTGCAATTAAAGCAGGTTTCCTTTATTTGGAGGGGAGACACCAGCACGAGCAGATGCTGAGATTGCAGGGCTTCTCCTTTTTTTAATGATCTGAAATCTGTGCTATTGAGCTGTGACATTGTCTGCCTGGACTTTTGCAGGGGATAGAGCTTCTCAGTGCTGTGATCTTGCTTCAGAGGCTGGGGGGTTTCAATTTAACTTGGTTTTTCATTACCAAATAACTTTCACTTAATTTTTGCCTGGCAGAAGATATTTGTAACTGATAAGAAGAGCTTATGCAATTACCATTTTCTTTGGTTCAGGCCCTTCTTCAGTCGGTGTTATCCCCGTGGAATTGCTGAAACATACAACAGTCTTATGGTTGGACACTAAACCTTCTGATCCTAAATCAGGGTGCTCCTCTTAGTTTATAAAGGTAACTTTGGAGCGAATAGCAGCGATTGCAGTTCTGCCTTTGCATTACTGGTTTTAATGGGAAATCCTGCTCAGCAGCTCCATTGTTCTCTGGTTTGTCTTGTTCTCAGGCGGCTTTTTTTAGGTCAGTTTTATTCCGGCTGGCTCTGCCCTGGCTTCCCCCAAAATGAGATTCCCAGGCTGGTGGGGGTGACTGTGCTCATGAGAGGCTTATTTTAGAGTGGGGCTGGGAGCATCAACACGTGGAGTTTGGGAAACTGTTTCCAGAGCCCTTGGAAATGGAATAATCCTGTCCCATGGAGGAGAGCCCCGGCTTGGAAAGGAGCAGACGCTCTGGGTGTGGTTTTCCTTGAGGATTTGTAGGGTACAAATGCAGTGTGGGCTTTGCTTTGTCTTCTTTTTTTGCTTATCTTAGAGCCTTTTGCAATAAATGTGCAACTGCTGAAGTCTCAGTAGGGGAAGTGTTCCCTGTGAAGGCTCCCAAAGCCCAGCCCAGCTCAGTGCCTTCTGTCGTAATTCAGGGTGTTCTTCAGGGGCTTCCTACAGTCCCCGGGATTTACTCAGTGTTACAAAGGCTTGTTTTCTGCTGAGCCTTCTACAGCCTCCCCTCTGGTAATGTAGGAGCTGGGGGGAGACAATGAGATCCGGTGATAATGAGAAAAGCCAGAGAGGTGTGAAATCCCCTCCTTAGGAACCTACATCTTAAAGGGAAATTACTCCTGGATTCAGGAGATACTGCAGAAGTGAAGTTTTTCTTTGGTGACTGTGTTTGTGTTGGTCAGGGTGGTGTTCTTGGGCTTTGCAGGAGGCACAGGACCCGTCAGGTACCAACAGGAGAAACAGAGGAGACAAAAATAGCGGGGAGAACGGCTTTTTCTGCAGTTGTCTGGTTTTAACCTATCAGGCTACTTTTTAATGATACTATTTCATACCAGTTATATACTATTTTATATCAGTTATGTACTCTACAGCAATGAATTCTTTTTTCCTAACCGTTTTCCTAACCTGACAGTTTTTACAACTGGGCTGATGACTTTTTCGCAACCTGTAGTTTTTGGTCTAGGTGATGTTCTGGGCAGAAAGTGCAGGGATTTGGAGAATGTCACAGCTTTTTTCTCTTCCTGGATTCCACACATTCTTCTGATCAGGTTTTGTCTAGAAACACAGACATGATTGGGACACACTACCAACCAGTGAAGAACCAGCTTGTACCTCGAGTTAAGAGTAAAGTTTGTTATTGGAGACTTGCACATGCTAGGAAAACATCTTTGTTGCACGTGAGGAAGAAATGTGCATCAAAGCAAGCAAAAGAGTGTGTTCTCCAGGAAGCCCAGCTTTCTTCTGGAGCTGTTAGGCCATTCTTTGGAGTTGGAGTTGAACAAGAATAGTGAAACAACCTTGTTAAATCAATTCTAGGGCCAATTTCATAAGCGCTTCAAATAAATCACGCTGCAAATGTACATGTGATTACAGAATTGTTGTTGGTAAGGGCAGTGCTTTCTGCAGACTCTTTCGCTGTTGTGATCTCCCATGGGAATGAATTTAGTGTGTGGTGAGTGGGAGACGGCACAGGATGTCTTGCTGCTCGGTCACTGATGTGTTTCAGACCTGATTTGGGGCTGGAAAGAGAAGGAGCACCAGCCCTTGGGCATCACGGCCCCTCCCCACAGTCCCCACAAATGCTGCACCTGCGTTTGGAAAAGTGAAGTTCTCCCCAAGCCACTTTTGGGAGCTCATGGGTTTCCATGGGTTTGTTTCAAAGCGATGGGATTGATGGGAATCACAGGTTTTGCTACACGTGCTGGTTGGTGTGTGAAAATTTCCTGATCTCTTATAGGAAAAGTCAGAAATCACAGAAATCTACCTGTTTCCGTAGATCACTACTCGCTCCTTGTTGCCACTGTGCTTTTTACAGCCTATAATCAGGTGCTTTGCACAAACAAAGCTCTGGGCCAGTGGGCAGCAGCTGGGCTGTGGGATGTATTTGCAGCAGTGGGGAGGGAGAAGTGCCATGGCCTGGCTGCCAGTCTCTCTCAACTGCATCATTTCAAGCTGTCTGGCCCGTACAGACACAGCTGAGATGTGTTTGCTTTGACTATTTCTGGCTGCTCCTGACCCATCTCCCTGTTCTTACAGCTCTTTATTCTGTAGTTGGCAGCTGTTTCTCCTTGAGCACTGACCAGTGTCCTCTCCTCCACAGAAAGGGCCCCCGTCGGGGACGGACAGAGTGAAGAAGGGCGGATCCTATATGTGCCATAAGGTAATGGGGAAAGGCCTGGGGTAGTCCCATATTTCCTCTGAAAGTACCTGGTTTGACAATGAAACCATCTTCTGACAGTTTCCTGCCAGCCCAGGGGCTTGCTGAGGGGTTTTGTGCAGTTTGAGGAGCAATACCTAATGTTCTTAAGGAATTTTTTCTGGTGAGCTTGGAATTAACCCAAGCTGCTCCACCCAGCGTGGATTTTAGATGTGGCAGTTAAAACTGATGTACATCTATAATGCTGTTTTCATTCTAGTGCCTGAGTGATACCTGTAAGGGCATGGAGGGGACTTGTTTTAGTTCTAGAAAGACTCCATTGAGAAGGGGTATTGGGTGTTTGCAGACAGATCTCTGGGAGATGAAGGTTTCAGCTCAGCTGACAGCAGGCTTGAAATCCTTCCTGAAAAGCCGGGATGGCACCGCGGGGCAATAGCTCTTCCTGAGACAGATCAGGCTTTAAACTCCACTCACGCAACACTGGCGAAAAAATGCTCATGGTACAGCGCTTCAAATAAATCACGCTGCAAATGTACATGTGATTACAGAATTGTTGTTGGTAAGGGCAGTGCTTTCTGCAGACTCTTTCGCTGTTGTGATCTCCCATGGGAATGAATTTAGTGTGTGGTGAGTGGGAGACGGCACAGGATGTCTTGCTGCTCGGTCACTGATGTGTTTCAGACCTGATTTGGGGCTGGAAAGAGAAGGAGCACCAGCCCTTGGGCATCACGGCCCCTCCCCACAGTCCCCACAAACGCTGCACCTGCGTTTGGAAAAGTGAAGTTCTCCCCAAGCCACTTTTGGGAGCTCATGGGTTTCCATGGGTTTGTTTCAAAGCGATGGGATTGATGGGAATCACAGGTTTTGCTACACGTGCTGGTTGGTGTGTGAAAATTTCCTGATCTCTTATAGGAAAAGTCAGAAATCACAGAAATCTACCTGTTTCCGTAGATCACTACTCGCTCCTTGTTGCCACTGTGCTTTTTACAGCCTATAATCAGGTGCTTTGCACAAACAAAGCTCTGGGCCAGTGGGCAGCAGCTGGGCTGTGGGATGTATTTGCAGCAGTGGGGAGGGAGAAGTGCCATGGCCTGGCTGCCAGTCTCTCTCAACTGCATCATTTCAAGCTGTCTGGCCCGTACAGACACAGCTGAGATGTGTTTGCTTTGACTATTTCTGGCTGCTCCTGACCCACCTCCCTGTTCTTACAGCTCTTTATTCTGTAGTTGGCAGCTGTTTCTCCTTGAGCACTGACCAGTGTCCTCTCCTCCACAGAAAGGGCCCCCGTCGGGGACGGACAGAGTGAAGAAGGGCGGATCCTATATGTGCCATAAGGTAATGGGGAAAGGCCTGGGGTAGTCCCATATTTCCTCTGAAAGTACCTGGTTTGACAATGAAACCATCTTCTGACAGTTTCCTGCCAGCCCAGGGGCTTGCTGAGGGGTTTTGTGCAGTTTGAGGAGCAATACCTAATGTTCTTAAGGAATTTTTTCTGGTGAGCTTGGAATTAACCCAAGCTGCTCCACCCAGCGTGGATTTTAGATGTGGCAGTTAAAACTGATGTACATCTATAATGCTGTTTTCATTCTAGTGCCTGAGTGATACCTGTAAGGGCATGGAGGGGACTTGTTTTAGTTCTAGAAAGACTCCATTGAGAAGGGGTATTGGGTGTTTGCAGACAGATCTCTGGGAGATGAAGGTTTCAGCTCAGCTGACAGCAGGCTTGAAATCCTTCCTGAAAAGCCGGGATGGCACCGCGGGGCAATAGCTCTTCCTGAGACAGATCAGGCTTTAAACTCCACTCACGCAACACTGGCGAAAAAATGCTCATGGTACATCTCCTTTTCCATTAAAGCTGTCCTGCTCTCTTTCCCTTCCAGAGCCCCCAGCTGGCAAATCATTCTCATAATTAGATTAAACTTTCTACAGCGAGATCCCATTTTTCTACGCTGATTTCCTTCTTAGGTGAAATCAATGTCAGATGTTAATTAGCAGTTTTGATTAAATTAACACTGGAATAGACTCTTCTCCAGTGATGAATAACGTGACCCATTTTAAAGGCTTGTGAAGATTCTAGTCTGTCCTAACCCTTTTTTTTGTTTTGTAGGTGATAAAACTAGGCTGTGTATCAAGACAAAAAAAATCCCAGTGAACACCATTAGTAGGAGGGCTCTTTACTGGGTGCCTAAAAGTCTATTCAGACTCTTTTTCAGATGCTGCTCAGCCTGGCAGAGCTGACAGAGCTAAAAAGGTGCAATTTTAGCCTGTACGCTTTGCAGCTCCCTTTGATTTTTTGGAAATATTCTAGCTTTTAAGTCCTGCCGTGCTCTGTTGAGGTTTGGGGTGGACTCTGCCTGCGGGAGGGTGGCAGTGTGTGCTGTGACCTGGGAGCTGGGGGGAACTGCTGCTGGGATCTCCTTAGATGGAGATGGTGTGAGCTCAGGGAGATAAACACGGGTTCCCCGCTGCTCTGCGGGGATGGCACGGTCCCCGGGCTGTGCCCTTGGTGGCAGAGCCTCTCTGAGCTGTCACCACCCTTGCTGTTATACACTTTGCTTGAGGAGCTGTGCCCAAACTCCAGAAGGGGTCTGTGTTTAAAGGAGAAATGCTTCCCTCTGCACAAAAGGAAAAAGAAAAAATAAAAACTGAACACCTTTTTATTATTATTATTAACCCAGCTGTTCCAGAAATCTGGTTCACAGCCTGACCAGCGGTGTGTTTCTGTCGGAGGCAGGAGCCTGTGGCTGGAGGGGATGAGAGGGAGGATAAGGACCAAAAAGCCTGAGCCAGATCTTTTGAAGTCATGGGGAAATGGGACAAAACTGGGGCTGTACTGGGGTTGCTGCATAAGCTCACAGGCTGCTGCCCCAGCGTGTTATTAGTGAAATGAGCAGCGTGAGTGTCCTCCTTCGTGCTAGGAGGGAGAAGAGCCTCTGGGCAGTGAGTCTGGCCTCACCTAGCTAATGCTTCAACGGGTTAGTTCTGCAGTTTGGAGATCACCATCCCTAACACAGGTGATGGAGAAGCTGTGAATAGCCTGAGTCTCTCTGTTTCCATGGGCTGTAAGTGTATTAATGCACACTGTGACGTGACATCTGTGCAGCTGGGCAGGTGCAGTTGTGTTCCAGACCAGCCTCTCTACCCTGCTGTAGGGGTCTGACCTCCTCCTCCTCTTCCTCCTCCTCGGAGTGGCTCGGCTGTGTCTGAAGGAGCAGCCCTTCCCAAAGCAGCCTGTGCAGAGCACCCCACGGCAGCCCCGTGCTGAAGCTAAGATAACGTTTTGGATCTAACCTGGTCTGTCCCAGGAACATCAAATCCTGCAGGCACAAGCCAGACGCTGGTGGGAGTGAAAGTGTGGAGGTGTTTCTCACCATCACACATCAGGGGCATCAAATGGTTGTGTCTGGGTGCGAGGACAAGGCCTGTCACTTACTCTTGTGCTCCTGTCTCATGTAAAGAGTGAAATGACCAGGATGGTTCCTCCTTTCATTCCCCGAGAGGCAGCTGCCGGGAGATTGCGGTGTTCGCAGTTGGCTGTTAGGAGTATCAGAGGTGCAGTGGAATCATTTTATCAGTTACTTAATTCTGAATGTTACTGGTTTTATAGCCAGTTTTATAGTCCAGATCATATCTGATTATAAATATGCCTGGAGTGCCAGATACAGGATACCGGAAGGAGTTTGCCTCCAGTTACTCCTTGCTCCCTGTTGCATCTCATCCAGTGGGATGGTGTTTGGCAGGTGCTGGTACCTGCTGCTTTCCAGTGGTTCCTTGGCACACGGATACACAGGTAGAGGCACCGAGATGCTCCCCTTTTCTCCGAGAAGAGGAGCAGAAGGATCCTTTTAGCTTTCTCCCGGGGCAGGATGTGTTTTGAGTCAATATTCCTGTTACCAGACCCTCTGCCATTCAAGCTGCCTTTTTGATCTCTATATCTGGTGGGATCTCCCTGGTTTCTGACGGTGGCTTTGCCCAGTCTCAGCTCATTGCTCTCCCCAGCCCTTTGAAGTGTTTCTCTGCATTACCCCCCCTGATTCTTGCCTAAGGCCCCCTTCTCCTCTCCCTGGCAGTCTCACTGCTACAGGTACCGCTGTGCAGCCCGCAGCCAGAACACCCCCGACAGCTCGGCCTCCAACCTGGGCTTCCGCTGCGCCGCCGACACGCTGCCGGGACACTGAGCCTCACCCCGAGCCACAGACCTGGGGGGGTCACACTGCCCACACAGAAGAGGAAAATCTCCTCCTTGGAGTTCCCATTCAGGGAAGAACATCCAACGCTGGTCAATGTTGCTTGAAGAACCTTCCTGTATTTTTCCTTGGGGAACATGGACTTTCCTCCTGACCAAACTTCTCATCGGTGAACTCTGCCCATCGTGTTTTAAAAGGTTGATTAATAGCTCCTTTAGAAAAGATCTTTTATTAAGTAGTTTTATTGACCTGGAGTTTGAATTTCGACACTGAGCTCCAATAAACAAGGACTTTTTAAACTTCTAGACAGCTTTAAAAGAAAACTGAAGCAGTTAATAAATTCTAGACAGCTTTAAGAGGAGAGGGGAGGGGTTGAGAAGAGGGGAGGACGGGCCCCCAGAGAGCTCTGGGCAGGGGCAGGGAGTGCAGCCCGACTCTTACATTCCTGCTGCCCTGAAAATTGGGTCCAGAAATGTGCTTTTTCCAGTGAAATACTTGCTCCTCTTTAGAAAGTGCCTTCTGCCAAGGGGTGATAATCCTCAGGGTCGTGATGGTCAGAAAGGATGTACATATTTGAATAAAATTTCAAGCATTTGTTTATGCTGCTGAAGACATTCCTTGATGGAAAAACACTGGCCCTCTCCTTTGAATTTTTCTTGGAGGCGATGCAGGCTTGTTCTGGGGACTGGCACGTTGCAAGCATGGGGGCAGTCGGAGCTGGAGCTAAATAACTCGTGATTTCACCCCAATAAAAGATCACTGCAATGAAAAGATGGCAGGTGTAACTGGGAGCATTAGGGCCTAATAAAGTAAACTTTGAAACTGTTCTGTTTAATGTGGTAGTTAGGGTATGGTGACTACAGGCAACAGTTTAAAACAAAACAAACAAAAAACCCAAACCCCAAAAACCTCGACACACGAAACCAGCACTTTCCCAGCAGGAGAACAGTGGTGGATTAACAAAACCTGCAGCCAGGCCAGCGTTACCTTTTCTGGAGTGACTCGGGTTCTGGTTTAACACAACCTGGGTTTAATCCAAATCCAGCTCCTGCTCCACCCCATCTTTGGTGCTGAGAGGGAGATACTGGAGAACATCTGGGGCACCTCCTGCACCACCAGCCTCCAGCAGGGCACGGAGGTCATTCTGGGAAGCAGAAAGCAATGCTTCCAGGAGACACCACTATGACACGGCACTCACACGAGTGTGATAAAAGCTGTGGGAAATGCTTTGCATATTAGACTGCCATACCAGCATTAAACATTTAATTAAAATCTATGCATTAAAAACATCTTTTTCACTGGAAATAATAGGGAAAGAGTCTATTTTTGTCTAAGGGAACGTCTCTGCCACAAGAAGGAATACACTTTATGAAATATTTTGCTTAGTGTTGGTCTTATTTTTTTATTCCACATATTGGAAAATTCTGATGTCTTTATTTAAATAAACAGCTTCCATCAGGTACGTGTCAGTGGGTGTGCGGTGGGTGGCACGTGGGGAAAGTCTTCCTGGGGGAACGGGTCCCAGTCCTGCAGCTTTTGCCTGCATCGTGGCTGCTGTATTTTATCACAAGGTCTTTCATTGAACAACTTTGAATTCCTCGGATCAGATTGCAATGGGAAAGTAAAGCTTGAGTGAGCACTGAGTACTGAAATACTGCTCATCAGTGGTGTCCTTTGGGAGCAGAAGGAAGGAGGGATCACACAGAGCTCAGGGTCTGAGCTGTTGATGGGATGCCCTGAGGAAGAGCACACTGGCCTGGGAAGGGGCAGACTGGGAACCAGGGGAACCCAAAGGGAAATTCAGCAGGTAGAAACAAGAGTCTGTTTTCTTTTTTAGTCCCTTCTGAAGGGATTTTTTATTTTTTAGTAGGATTTTGCTCCACGCCGCCAGGCAGAGCAAAGTCTAATGCACATGCTATATGGGAAGAGACCATTAACAATTGTCGGGGTGGTTCAGAACTCGAAGACAGCGCATGATTTTGTGTTCTTGCAAGGCCTGGGAGGTGGCTGGCTGCTCCCCGCAGCACAAGGCTCTCTTGTTCCGTGCTGGGGAAGTTTGTTCTAAGCAGGTAATTGATATTCAGTTCACTTCCCAGAGCCGTGTGGGCTGGCTGGGCCCGGGAGGTGGGATTGGGGAGACACAGAGGCTCTGCTGTGTTCTCTGGTTTACTGCTGGCGATGCAAGGACCAGATATTCCTCAGGCTGTTTGGGGGGGTTGTGTTTTGGGCTTATTTTTTAAAAAATCTACACTTCCTTAACTACTCAAAGTCACGCCAAGTACATACTCATAACAGGAAGCCAGCAAACAGTGCCGTCACCTTGAAAACCCATCTAATCTCCAGGACTAGGAATACAGATGGTACAAAACCAGTCCTGACACTTTTTCCAGCAGGGAAGGAGGAAGCAGATCCCGGCCCTCCAGGCCAGCAGATGGTGGCTGGGGCGATGCCCTTTGGGAGAAGAAAACCCCCCAAAGCCTCAGAATAGGACAAGAGACCTCACAACCTAAGCTGTCCTCTGGTATCTAGTGCATTCTGGGACCTGGAGAACTTCTCTTCTGTAGAAGGAGGTTCCCTTAATCAGGCAAGGAATACTGTTAATGGTCACTACTCTTAACAAGTAGCTGAAATCCTCTGGAAGCTCTCTGTACTGACAGAAGTGACACTTGGTGATTAACCCTAAGAAAAACCACGTGGTAATTTTTACCTTAAACTAAAACCCCAGCCGTAGGTAAATCTCAACAGCAGTTCTTCGTAACGGAAGCACGAAGATCTGTATGAAATGGGGAAAAGCTAACGCTGAAACTTAGCAAGTATAGGTAAACACAAAGCAAGATCGTTTAGAAAATTGCAAAAATAGCAGCAAAATGGATGGGACCGGAGACACAAAACAGGGCAAGGACACAAAGCATTTGGGCTGATCTTTCTGGGCAGGTTTTTTACATAAATAATAATTAGTTATTTATGCTTTATGGAACAAAAAAAATGTATCACAAGTAATTAAAAAAAAAATAATTTATTTTAACAGGATGTAAGAAACCAAATGCCCTTGTGCAAACGTCAACATTCCTTGGTCTCATCCTCTGGTGTAATTGTCAACATTTCTTCTTGTTACCATGTCCTTTCTGTGCACCAATGCTCAAGTCCATTCTTGCAGAAAGGTACAGACTGAGAGAGGTGCTTTATCCTACAGCAAATGGGCAGCAGGAAACAAGAAAAGAAACCCCAGGCCTGGGTTAGTAACTGATTTTGGAACATCTCAAAGCTCCAGTGCTCCCTCATATTGTACCATCCACCTTGAAAACGGATGTTGCATGAAGTTATTCTCAAAATCTTGTCTTCTAGCTGTTCCTCAAAATCACATGTGCTTCCTTAGTGGAATACACAATCAGAGTTTTATTTAACTGCATTTAACTACTAGGGAAAATGATGGTTTTTTGGTATACTCAGGGACTGAAATGCAACGGAGAGCTCCCTGAGAAAGCATCTGGTGTGGAAAAGAGGGAGCTGTCCCAGGGTAAGAAGGAAGCACACGTGCGGGAACCACAGTAACAAGGTTTTCTCAATTTGTTATTTTCCTCTGAAGATTTTTGTTCTCTGTTAGTTATTGGTAAATTATGGAATCTCCCAGAATAATCATAGGAAAGTTCCTCTCCGGCAGCAATATCAGTGGCTGCAAAAAGTGCCAGTTTAGGCACCATGGAGTCAACTCGAACTGGCACCATAAATAGATTAGGTTCACAGGAATGATTGAGGAACCTGCCCACGTTCCCGATGTACGTGGGGTCAACAAAGGTCTCCATGACCCCCCCGCTGTGGAGGTGCTCCCTCACCGCTAGGATATAGTTGGAATCCTTTGAGGTCTGGGCCTGAATTCTTCTACGTGCCTCAGGAAAGCCTAAAACTTCACCGGCGTATTCACAGACAAATCTTCCTTGAGCTATGGATTGCAGAGTGCGAACGCCCCACCCTTTCTTCTCAGTCTTGAACACCTCGAGCCTGAACTGCAAACCCCTCTGCACAACCCTGTTGGGACAGGATTCCCCACACCGGCACATGGAATTGCACTCAAACACAGGCCTGGCGTATTCCTCCTCTGTGTCCGCAGGCCTGAGGCACAAACTGCTGTAATTTTCCCCACGGCACAGACACGAGCAGGCGGGCACCACGCAGGAGCTGGTAAGACAGGAACATCCTGGGAAGGTGATTTCCGTGGGGTCCACATGTCCGTCTGCTCCAGCCACGCTGTCTGGGCTGTACTGCAGAGAGAACAAGAGTCAAACCCTCCTCACCTCCAGTGCTGCTTTCCACAGAGGCTATCCCATTTTTAAGAAGCTCACGTCTGGCAACAACTGATCTCTGAACTGAACTGACATCACAAACACTTCACTTTCCTGTAAACGTCTAACTACCAGCCTAACATTTCTAACACATTGTAAAGAATACAAATCAGATATTCCATATACGCCAAAAAAGAATCAATAGCTTCTTAGCGACTGAATTCCTCAAAATAGTCTAACTGCCAGAAAAATAAATTCTTAGCTGAAAAATATCAGCTAATTTACTAGATACTATTTTTATTTATAGAAATAGCAAAGCATCTTTAAAGTAATTTTCTCCCCCTTAAAAATGCTCAATAAGCTACTTATAAGATTAGTCCACAGCTATTTTAAGTCACAGAATTTCCAATGTCCATTTTTGTTAAAAATGAAGATACTTTCAATTTATCTCTTCACAATGTTGCACTCAAACTTGCTCCTGCTAATTCTGCGTTGCACTAGCACACCTCTACATAGTTAATAAAAGATGCAGTGACTACTCTATCATCAGGGTAGAATGTGAGATGGCATCTGCTTCACCCTAAATTCTGTCTGCGGGAACAGATGTGGTTCAGTTGAAGCAATCCAAGCTGAAAATCAGGTTCTCAAAATTACACTAATGCCCCCAACAGGTGAATGATTATAAAACCACGGACTGCTGCAAAATAAAAGCTGACAGAAACTTTGCTGCATGTGAGAATCAAAATATAAAGACAGCTGCATGTATATTTTTACTTTCTTCTCAGCATTCAGCTTGCAAAGCTTTATTTAGAAACATGGAGTATATGTGCTATTACTAAATATTACACTTCATAGTAGCTTATGTCTGGCAGCTTCTGGGTGTTGGGAAACATGCCAGTTCATTCAGGAAGTTCTTTTTTCATAAACATCAGCTTCCTCAGTCATATGGCTTTACTCAAAACCAAGTTCAATAGTCCCTTATCTGTTCCCATCTTCTCCCATTCACTGCCTACAAGCGTTCCTATTTCTGTTAAACACCTGCACACCGTGCAATTTAGGAAGATTGGGGTCTGCTTGGATGAGGTCTTTCTTTTATTCTCCCAGGCTTATTAAAAGCTACATCATTCTGATTTGTGAAGGCTCTTAACATCGCTGAAGCGACCTCCTGGGCAATAAGGTGTACTTCCAGGAAACAGGTCTGGAATTTACTACAAGTACTACAGAAGACAGCAGAGACCGGGCTGTGCCTGAGAAGGTATGACAAAAGTTAAGAGTTTAAAGCGTTGCCCTGTATTTCAGATTGTACCTTTTCTTGTAAAGTGCTTCAGACGGTTGTGCCTCGGGAAGCGTCTGCCAACCCTGTCAGATTTTTAACCCCAGTCTGGTTTCAGCCTGTGCCCGAGCCTATAGTGCAAGCACTTTACTCTTCCTGAAAGGTGACATCTCAACTGCGTGATTAAAGCCTACAAAATGCCATACGTTTGAGGAAAAAAAAAGCGCATATATATGTAACTAGAGAGGACTGCGAAGAAAGAGACCATAACGAGAGCACCGAGGGGCCAGGCGCGGAGGCCTAAGGAGCCCCACAACCCTCCCTGGCACCCCCGCCTTGGGGGTGTCCGGGACGGGCTGGCTGAGGGGCCGCCGCCGGCAGACGGGTTCCCTTCTCCTCCCCCGGATCCCCCTCCCTGTTTCCCGGGGCGACCGTGGCCCTCACCCGTACCTGAAAGGCCGGCGGGGCCTCCCCGGGCGGCCACAGCCCCACAGCCACCGGCTCCTGCCCGCCGCTCAGGTCCGCCATGGCCCCGGCCGCCACAGCCATGGCCCCGCCCCCCAGCCGCGCGGGGATTGGCTCTCAGGCGGCAAAGCCTCTCTTTGATTGGGCAGAGGGAGGGACGCACGGCGTGCCGGCGCGCAGGCGTTGTGGCGGCGCGGGAGCGTGCCCTCGTGCGGCGCGGACAGGGAGCCGCCATCTTGTGGCCCTCCCGCCCTCAACGAGGCCGGCGCCGTGCCCAGCCGCTCGCCGCGGAGGGGATGGGCGGCCGGGGCAGCCCCGCGACGCCCTGCGCCCCGGGAGTGAGCCTGCCCTCGGCCAGGGCTTGGGGAAAGGCGGTGTGCCTGCCACCTTGGGTCACTCCCTGCGACGGGGCTGCCCCTCCAGAAACCGGTGCGGCTTTGTGTGATACGTGTGAAAGTACTCAAACCCGAGTAGTTTTAAGTGTTAAGTACAAACCACAGAGTTATTTTAATTCTCCACATGACTATAAACCCTTGCCTATTTTGAAAGTATTCAAGTTTGGAGTTTTGGGGGGGGGTTTGTGAGGTTTTGGTGTGGTTGGTTGGTTTGTTTGTTTGTTTTTAGTTTTATTCTTCCTGGCTGGTTTAAGCTTCCAATAACCTTTTACATTTTTTGGGTTTTTAGTATAAGTTAACATGGTTTGTAATGTGGGTGGGAAGCCTTGTGTTCAGATCTTAAGAGGCCTGGAAACAGCCAGCTGTAGCTGGGGATGGAAAAAGATTTGGTAGGTCTTGTACCTACAGAAATGCGGAGCAAGGCCGTAATCCTCCTTGTGGCTACTTTGTCAGGAGTTAACTAATTCGTTTTCTGGATGAAGGGAGATAAGAACCCATAGAATCAAGCTCTGGCTTGATGTGGGAGGCCTTTCCAGTGCTATATATGATGTTCTTCTGAAGCAATCATGACAACGTTGCTTCTGTGCAGTGTGGTAAGAGTAGAGTAGTCACAATTGGTCTTTTGTCTGTGAACAGCAAACAGCTGTAGCTGGGAAAAAGGAGTCAGACTTGGGTTCTTCAGATGCTGGTGGTTTCATCAGCTTCTGTATTTACCCCTTGGGTCAGTTGTTTTGGGACCTGAGGTGAGGAAGCTCTTACTGTCTCCTCACTTCCTTTTCACCTTTGTGTGAACCATGTGTTTTCCTTTTGAAATCAGTTACCACATTCAGAAATGATCTCTTCAGACTTAAGAGATAGAAGTCCCTAGAGCATGCTCTGTGCCCTTCCAACAGGCTATTTATTTGTGTGTCTCTTTCCCTGTGGTGGTTTCTGACATGATTTTTCTGATCCCTCTTTTCTGTAGCATCTGGGAAATGGGAAGAGCCTTCACCTGTTGTGTCCCCTTCCTCCTGCCTGCGAAGAGCTGAGCAGCACCAGGAGAGGTGCAGGTGAGATCGGCTGGTGAAGTTTGGGGGTTGGACAGCTAATGGGGATAGCAGCATTGATGGGAAGGTGACTGATGGGAAGGTACAGGAGAGCAACTTTGGGAGGTCAGTGTCTCCCAGTATCTGGCCAATATCATTTTAAGGAAGAATTTGATCAGATTAAACCTTGGATTGGCATGTGCTGCTGTGAACGTAAAGGAGATGTACCTATAGCAGCAGTGCTTTATAACTGAGTGGAATGAAAATGGTGGAAGGCTTTAAACCCTCACAGCAGCCATCAGTTTCTACCAATGGGTGCCTCTGAACCCAGCCTTCTTGGGCCTGATTCTTTCCTCCTGAGAGTGTTTCTCATTGTGGGGATGGCGGTAGATCCATTCTGAGGTCGATGCTGAAATGTTGAGTGATTGCAGAAATTAAAACAGACTTTGGTTTTGTAGTTGAAGGCTTTCCGTTATTACCAAATTGACCTTTATCTCAAGACACACATAATTTGGCTGCTAATCCTTAGTGCCAGATGGAATTCTTTTCCATTTTCAAATGACAGAAGTAATGAGTCATTACTCTGTAGTAAAAGGAACAGATTGCTTACACGTACAGGAGACTGGGTTTTGGAAATCAGCAAAAGGTCATGGAAAATCCAGTGTTTTTCTCCTCCTCCCACCCAGGGTTTAAACTATGAATGGGTTGAACTGTTGAGGTGTCCAGGTTGGGTGAAAGATTGATGAAAGCTCATTTAAACTTTTTATGTAAAATTGTTGTTGAAACAAAGCTTAAAATGGAGCTCAGAGTGAACTGTGTGTGAACTTTGTGATGCTGAACTCAGGCACCTGGTGCAGCTGTGAATTTCTTTTGCAACACACTATGCTGTATCTCAGATGAGACTCTGTGAACCATTTTTCTTTGATATGTTGCGTGCATTTAGCTGTTGGGTTTTCTCTCTGTACAAATAATGCTTTCTGCTCATTAATCATTTTTATGACTGTTCTCTTCAGTTTCTCAGATTTCTTAATATCCATCTCATAATTGGAGTTGGGAAGGTTAACGGTGCCTGGAACAGGGAGTTCATTTGAGAGTGGTCTTCATCTGCCATCATCACTGAGTTTTCGTGGCTGATACTGTGTGTTGTAACGAGGTGATGGAGCTCAGGGGGCTGGGAACTGGACTCATCAGGCTGCAAGTTCAGGGAGCATTGCTCAGGAAGCTAGGCATAATCCTAGTCTAGAAGAAATCAGATGTAAAGTTTCTTTTCTGGTAGGCAGGAGGCCCTGGCATCAAGGAGGATTTTTCTAAAAGATTTCTTTCTAACGTCAGTGTGGTGAAAGCTAAGATATCTCAAGTGATTAATATACAATACAGTGATTTTGTGTAGTCATAGTGTCATCATCAGTACTGTTGGTTGTAAGGGAGCTCTGGTGATCTGATGGAACCCTTTCTCCAGCTGAGAGCGTTGCCAATACTCAATCGGTTCAGCTGTGGTTTTTTCAGCTGACTTCTGGAAAACTCTCAAGGCCTGAGATTTCACATCCTCTCTGGGTACCGGTTTCAGGGCTGTACCAGCTTCACAGTGAGTGTTTTTCGAAATGTCAAACCTGAACTTCCCTACCTGCATTTTTTTGCCTTTGTGCCTTATTTATTACTACTGAGAGGAGTGCGACTCTGTTGTCTTCTTAATTGCTCTTCATAGCCTTCATTTAGATGACCCCATAGTGTCCTCCTTGCTGGAATAAACAAGCATATGCCCCTCAAAGTGTTCTTATTGGTCATATGCTTAGTCTCCTGACTATCTTGGTAGCCTTTTGCTGGATCATCTCCAATTTTTCTACGTATCTTTGCTATTTTACTTCAAAGGAAGCACATCTCCTGTGTGATGTACTGGACATAACTTCCTGCAGGAGACCTTGAGTGCTTCTTAAATTGTGGCATTGAGTGCAGACAGTCCAAAGGGACTTCAGTCTGTCATTCCCAGGTTGAGTGTTTCTTAGCTGCTTTATCCATGCTCTCTGTAGGTTGTGTGTTCTTCCTTCTCTAGTTAATCTGAGAGAGTGGTGTTTGGTTTTTTTTGGGAGGGGGTTTGGTTTTTTTTTAATTCCTTTGCTTACAGACTCTTCTCTTTGTGCTACTCTTCTCATGTCAGGTTTAAATTTTCCTTTGATTTCACCTTCATTTCTGGATAATCATCTCCAGCAGGTTAGTGGGCACGTACTCCCTATCCTTCTGCCAGTCTATTGTGCATCTATTAGAATATTGATTTACAGAGACTGAAGTATAAAAAATCAATATCCCATTAAGTGGAGTAGAGTGACAATGTTCTAAGGCTAGGCAAGTTCAAAGACTACTGTCTAGACACTGAGGTGGAGGTTTTTTCCCCGAAGTGGTCTTGTCTAGGCAGGTAGGATAAAACGTGCAAATCCTGTTAGGGGTTTTGTTCACGTGTGTTCATGGCTGGAAAACCCGTTACAACCAACCACATTTTTTAAAAGTGTTGGAAATGCAAAAGGTACTTCGATTTGTTGTGACACTCGGCAGTTTATTGCTTTTTAGTAGTAAAACAAAAGAATATAAATGTTCTCCGGTGTATTTAGGCAGGATATATAGACATAAGCAATCTGATAGTGCATGCCAGGGTCTGCTCTTAAGTGCTTAGGGAGTTGTGGAGAGACCAGTGTAAAGATTTCCTTTTTTCTTTTTTTTTTTTTGGTCAGTATGAGATGCCTACCACATGCAGGTGAGGAATGCAGCTCCCTTGCCTTGCCCCTTGCTCTCTGCACAGTAATCTGCCATTTGAAGATGTGGAACACACATATTTTTCTATTTCCTGCTTTTGAACCGTTCTTAGACCAATCTGCAGTTATTTTAAGATGTGATGCTTGTACTTCAGTGCTCTTCGTAAACATCTGACCGAGCACAGGCATGATTCCCCTCCACGCGCTGGATTGCTCTTACTGTCTTTTCAAAAAATAAATATGTTAATACACTCAACTAATTGCTTAGCTAGGAAACTAGGTTTTGTCCATTTACAGCTCCATTTATTTATGCTCTATAGCTCATAAAGTACCTTGAAGTGCTTTATGGGCTGCGAATTTGAGATGATGAGAGCGCAGTCTCAGCAGCGTGTGTGCTGTGGCGTGTGGCTGGCACGTAGCCTGCTCTCTTCAGGGCCCAGCTCGTTACCTGCAAGTCACACCTGGCCCTAACGAAGTTTGGATGCTGGACTTCTGAGGGTCCCCCTGAGCCTGGGGTTCTTGCCTAGTAAAAGTGTCCCCTGCTGTGTGCTAATGAGCTGGCTAAATTTGCCAGAAGTGGATGGATACTGGAATGAAATGCCTGGTGATTGTGTTTGTAAATCCAAAGGAGAGGTTGAAGATGAATTTATTTAAGTATGCTGTAGCTGTGCTGAGAGGCCTGACCTTGGAAAATGCTGTGTTTGAATAACATAGTTTATCAAAATATCTCCAAGTGCTTTGCAGAGATAGACGAACTTTGTTTCCTTTCTTGTAGAGATAAGAAAACTGACGCAGAAGCACATGGAATGAGTTACCCCGTGGTTGAGCTATTGTTTTTGGTCATCACAGGGCTCTGCATTTCATTGATCATCAGAGGCTGCTCTTGCAGCATCGATTAGGTGATATGAGACAT